ATACCTATTCTATACCCATTTAAAAAATATGTTTTAGTCAACTACAGAAATAAATTTTAAATGCATGTTACAAAATAAATTTTATTGAATTTTAAATTTAAATAAATATTTGATAAATGATAACTTATCATTGATAAGCGACCCATTCCGAATATATTGTTTCACACGACCTACTTGACTTATGATTTACACTTTTGAAAGTGTTCAGGGGAGCGATTAACTTTAAAACCAGAATACCTAATGTTTTCAACATGCAAAAAGAAAGTATCATTTTATTTCTGAAAAGCAAAATGGCGATAATAATAATAATAAATAAAATTGACTTAATACTATATGGCTTTGATAATGGACTTAATACTATATGGCTTTAATATTAAAGTTACTCAATACCAAAATTTGCTAAACAGGAGTTGACTTCCTTCTAAAATCAGATAAATTATTTGGCAGTTAACGACAATACTTAAGTTTAACCAACATCAACAATTTTATTTAAAAACTTGTGTATACTGTCTTCTATATTGTTATTTTTTGAAAATAAAATTCACCTGTCACGTGCTACATCCTAAACATACGATTTACCTTTCCATAAACTTTTTATAATTTCTGCGTATTTAACAATAAAACTACTTTAAAATAACAAAAATAGATAAGGTTAAATATGAAGAGATTTATACAAATATTAATGTTTTTTTTATACAATTGGTTTTAAACTCTCGTTTTATTCTTTCATACCCTTTGACATACTATAGTATAATGTTTAAAATATATAGGACTAAGTTAAGACGCTTGCCAAATTGATAGTTCCAAAATTTAATTTCTATAATAAATAAATAAAGTAAAGTCGTTGCTTAAAAACAAGATGCACGGCATACCATACCATATACATTAATTTGTGATTTTTCTCATCATGACCGCATTTTTATGGAATGTCCCACAAACGATGGACTTAATATTATTTTACAGTTGAATCTAGCCAAGCCAAACAGTATCATGGGACTTAATACCACATAAAACTGTAAATTTTTTAGAACCCAACCCTAAGCGAGGTGTGGATTAAAATATAATTTTTACACTGCTTATATCAAAACCCAAGTAAGCCAGGACTTAATCTGGTTTACCATTGGAGAAAAAAAAATGTAGGGGAAGAACATGTCACTTTTGAATAAAAGTGGACTAAATATAGTTTGGCTCTGGGTTACTTTCAGAATAAATGTGATTTAACAGGTTTTTTTAATTTTCGAAGGACTTTATTAAAGGGGATGCATCTGGTTTAGTACCAAAGCCTTTCAAATATAGTTTTAAAATAAACCCATAAAAAATTATGTTGTGCGGTATCAAACTTACAGCGATTAAACTCTATTAATTAATCTCTTCTAATCCTTTAGTTGGAAAACTGATGGTTCAGATACTACGTTCTAACCAAAGTGTGGAGGTGTCTCTATAAACTATTGTTTGTAATATTTAAAGGCATATTTTGTAATAAATCTTCCAAAACATTTTTCAAAAAATTGTGGTAATTATTTGTATTTAAACGAGCAGGTAAACTATTAATTTCTCTGCAAAATTTTTGCTGGTGTTTTCTAAAAAATAATATTTATTTTCAAGTAATATTAATAGCATAGCATCTTTAAAGTTGTTTCCATTTAATGGAATCCATTATGATAATGACAAAATAAAAACTAAGCATAACAAGTAAATGATATGATTTAAAAAATTTAATTGATCTAGAGCCTAAACGGCTAATTTGCGTACATTTTTTTTGATCTCCTTTACCACCTCTATAACTTTTACAAATAATAAGACGAATATCTATTATAGATTTTGTAATATATTATTAATAACGTTTATATCTTTAATGGCCGACAAGAAACATTTTTCTATAGGTCTTTTGAAGTAGTTTTTGAGAACTTTAAAGTTTTGTTCCACCTTAATTTAATTTAGTAACTGTTTTTAAAAAATTTTACCCTACAGTTTAGTTGAAAAATCTTAGATAGATCCCAAATATCATATAAAATTCCATTTATTGATCCCTTTCACTTTATAAGGTTAATGCGGGTAAATGTGATAAATATCAATTATTTATTCCTGTAAATTCGTTAAACAGAGCAGCAATCTGGTGGCCAAGATTCAAAATACAATACTTGATCATAACGCCATTACAGAAATCTATGTTACCGATGCATTGTACAGTGATCGCATAATAAATATTATAATTAACATCATCATTTCTAACCTAAAACTCAAATTAAAGCCGGTATTTTTTATAATATTTCAACTATAGTTTTGTAAGCAAAATTAACAAAACCTGGACTAATCTATAGAAAAAGGAGCCTTATCTTACAATTACCCCAGCCAATATACCAATACATTTCAATGGAATTTTGCATTCAGTTATCACATTAGCCCCAAATGGTGGGGCAAATGTTTTTTAAAAAGCACCATAACTATTATTTTTATATTGTCACCTTTTTCAATAATTTTCGCCATCTGTAACAAAACCATAAACCTACCGTATTTTTTACAATTTTCTGCCTGCAATATTTACAACTTTGAAGCTAACTCATATTGAACTTTTTAAAAACTACAACACAATTACCTCTACTTACCTTAGTTTTAAAAGTTTTCATAATAATAACCTTTTTTTTTCGACTGTTATGCTGCTAATATAATTAATTATGCTTTAATGAGTACCAGTATCTGCAACTACACATTTAAGAGTAATTTAAAACAATAGAATCCTCAGTGGACACTTTTTGGTATTTATAAATTCTTAAATAATAAATCATACCTTGTGCAGCAGAAGCACAATTCCTAAAATGTAATTTATTTATTTTGTTGCAAGAACAAATTTATATTTTGTACTTGACCAAAGAGACAAAAGGGCTTAACTTTAGGTCATGATAGAGAGCTAGTGTATTTGTTCTTAAGGGTTTGCAAAATACCTAAGAGTTTTTTGCACGATTTTTGGTGACTTGTAGTTAGTCTTGGTCATACTTTCTACATTAGGTGGGTATTTATATGCACGGTACAGTTGGTATTATATTTTCAGATTAATGAAACCTGCATGTCTTCGAATAAAAAAACATGTAGAAATTATTTTATTTTTAATATTTTGAATGTTATTTAAAATTTAATTTATTATCTAGTGTTATGCCTAGGGGCAACCATATTATGCGGGCGCATAATCGCATATTTTTTTAAAAGTGCAGATATTATCAATTTTTGAACACTTTGGTATGTTATGAGTACAGTATGCATCATTTCCAGTCCGCATAATTTCGCATAATTCGATGTCGGTCACCGCATATTGCATTTCCGCATATTATGCGCATAATATCACATATTGTCGCATAATTTACGCGTTTTCTGGTTTCCATTCGGCCAAAATCACTTTTAATGCACAGTACATTAATTTCGCCACGCCGGAGTTTCGAAAAAACCCAAACTAGTCTTAATGACGTTCCTGGGAAGAAACAGATAAAATTGCTGCAAAGAGATGTTTGCACCTCCTGCTGTGACTTACTGAAAAAAATGTTGCAGAAGGATACTGCGAAGGACTTGTTTGAGTCCTCTCGTTTTTTGTTTGACTCCTGTAAATTGACTGCTCCTCTTTCAGCAGAAAGTGTTATTGCAGCAAAAGAAAAAATAAGTCTATTGTCTTCTATCCTATCATCAAATTTTGTAGTGTTACCCTCTATTTTGGCAGATGCAGTCAAAGAAAATTCTAAAGATAAATCTAAAAAAGGTGAGAAAGAGGATCTGGTGCTTTGTGCCTAAATTTCTATGATTAGGGAATATGTAAATTTAGTGATACCCTGCAGGGTATCACTAAATTTACATATTTACATATATTTACATACATGTGTGCAAGTGTTACATGTGTCTGTTTCAAATGTGGACACTGAGAGAGGATTTAGTGCTTATGGAGACATATTTTCCTCCAGGAGGACTGTGCGTGTATTTTGGCAGCAAGTTGGAAATGGAGCACTTTAATTGTGATGGAGATGTAGAAGACAACTTATCTACTATCTAAGATAAGGATGATTCAATGCTTGACTTAAATGACAATGTGATGTGAGTGTGGTGAATAGTCTATTGTGACTGTAATGTAACATTACTAATGTTGTAATTGTTATTTTAGATAACTTATCTATGTTATGTATGCAACATAATTTATGTTTATGTTGACTTTTAACAATTTGACTAGTCAGCTCTTTTACAAAATACTTTATGGAAAATAAAATACTACTTCGTTTAACTATCACTCACTTGTTTTTTTAACGAGTGTGACCTGCAGTTTCCTATTCATATTTTTTTTTAAATGAAAATGATGCATTCTTAACTTACTATTTCCTTACAAATCTATAAAGTATACATAATTTTCGCTTATTTCTTGATTTCTGTCCGAATAATTTCGCATAATTCCTTATTTTTGCCCGCATAATTGGCGCATATTTTCCCAATTTTGCCCGCATAAAATAGCACAATTCCTGCGCATAATTTGGAGTTTTCAAACGCATAATTTAGTTGCCCCTAGTTATGCCTAGATATTTGGTGTCTGACACTTCATTAATAACTAATTTAAGTGACAACAGTAAGTCACTGCCACTAAAAAAATTTACTTATTTTTACATAACACATTTTTTTGTCATAAAGTCTTATTAGCTAGAACCAAATTTTACTTCAATGTTTACTTCTTTAAAGCAACTTTTAGGAAAAAGTTCGGTATAAATAACTAGTGAAACTTTTTACTACTTTGAGAATGGTTTTTGGAACAAAAAATGCTGCTTGGGATAATTACTAAAAAATTTTCAAAATATTTATGTTTATAATATTTTCACTTACTTAAAATATTCCGTGCATTTCAATTGTCGAATAGACTGTCTTTCATTTCACAGTCCAAATGCGAATTTATGATGATTTATTTGAACATATCTTATAATTAAAAGATGATCGTTCTTAAACTTTAACTAGCAAAAAAATAAAAGAAATTAATAAATAAAATATATTTATTTTTAAATAACACAGAGCCGTAGCCAAAGGGGATAAAATTATATTGAGCCTTGGTAAAAAAATTAAAAATACAATTCTTTGCGTTTACAACTAACAAATATACAGTAGTAGCCCTAGTAAAAAGGTAAATATAAGCCCTGATTTTTATTTTATTTGGTTCTTACGGCTCCGACTTAACAATATTTATATTGCACCAGTTAAAACTTATAATACATATAGTGATGCTTGTACGCTTATGTATAACGAAGTGATGATCAATATGTATTTATGTAATGTAGGTATAATATAAATAAAATACTCCACTAATAATGATACTTAAATAAATCTGTTTTGGCACTTGTTGGCTACAAATTAGGACTCGATTTTTTTGTTGTAACCGAAGGAGTTGATTGCTAAAAAAAGAAAATTTTAATACATTTGATGGTAAGAGACGGTTTAAAAAAATGGTTTTCAGACATTTCAAAACAGTTCTACATTTTAAATAGTTATGGGAGAGTTTAGAACATTATTTAAAGTTATAAACGGATTGGGATGGTTTTGGGAAACTGTCCTTTTTAAATCTGTTATTATCCAAATTATTTTACCTCTGAACTCTTTGTCGCATTTTTCCAACATTTCCAACCACTGGGGACCGCTGATTCTGGGCAAATTCAGACTACCTCCATAACATTCTGGAAGACAAGCGGGGTCGACGTATTCCTGTAAAGATTTTCTGTCGCTTCCGTGGAAGATGATCCTGTTCCTGAGTTTCTCCCTCAAGAAAGGTTTGAAGAGAGCGAACACGATTTTGAAGATGTAAGGTTGATTGACGATGTGGATGTTCTTTATTCTTACTGGTAAGCTATCCTGAAAATAAAAAAAAAATAAAATTTAAACATTATAAAAAAGCACATCGGTTCTCAAAATATTTAAAAAAACTAAAAACCATTCAAAACCAAAAATCGTTATAACATCGTTAAGCTTAATTTTCATGTATCCGTTTGTCTGTTATCCGTTTGTCCATTTTTCAATAAAATCATACGTTTTTTAATGACGTTTAACGGATTGATTTGACGTCAAATAGAAATTAAGGACCAGTATATTCACTAAATATATATATATATATATATAAACTAAATTTACCTAATGCTTAATTATAATATATATATACCATATAAAAAGAATATACTAGCCTTAATATACATTTAAATGTATAGTTTTAAGAAAGCAGGTCCTTTTAGTTCTGGTTTTAACATTTTTTTGTTTGTCTTTTCTTTTTTCCGTTATTCTTATTAACATAACAGTAGAACACGTCAAAAACAGATGTGTAGTGACGGATGAGTTAATAGCTATGTATTTACATACCATGGGAGGAAAATAGTGCTTTTCCTCCCGAGAAGCGATGGACATTAAATATTCAAGGGAGGATACGCATTTTTCTCCTGAGGTATGTATATAGTTTTTTCTATTACCTTTTAACGGTTTTAAGACATTTTAAGCGTTCCGGTTCCTTTTACTAACCCTATATGGGACTATAAAATTATGACAAAATATTAAGTAGGTGTTGCGTCGCCGACGTTATGTTGACAACGCTTTGTTGCTATGGTATTTTGGTATTACAAACATAACAGTTGTTATAAGCTGTCAGAATGTTTATCATAAATTTGAAATTCTTCTTACGTTTTGAAAATGATTTCTAGCGAAAAAGACCTGCCGCAAGATCTTGCTGAAGAGGCAATAATAGTTGCAATTAATTTCCTTCCTTAAAAATTGAAAGAGCGATATGAAAATAAATATAGTTTGTTCAAAGAATGATTGGACAAGCGCGGAGTAAATCTTTTTCCTACAAAATCAAATAGGGCTAGACAAGGTACAAAAACTCTTGCTAATGTAAAATTGTTAAAAAAAAGAGGGAAGAAATTTTTTTTAAGTGAGGTTGTAGAAAAAAATATTTTAACTTTCTCCGTCAGACGTACGAAGTTGAAACTTGACGGACCGATAAAATGTCATAATTTTCGAATTATAATTAGACCAATAAGAGCGCTCCCGGATGATCGGACTAACGGACAAACGGATACATGAAAATTAAACTTTAATCCTAAAGTTTTTGAAAAAGAGTAAGTTTTGCATCTAAATATATTTACATTTTTATCCAATTTCTTTGATACTATATTTGGAGTTACAATCAACATATTTTGTTTTCATAATGGCCGCCATCATAAGTAGCATTTTTAGTGGATAATACGTATTGGCCACTTATACTTAGAACTGTAAAGTGTATTGCCAAAATCTCTGCCATGTGGTAGAAACGGTTCTATTACGTGGAAGTGATAAACACTTTTTTAGTGTCAGTTGCGTTCCAACAACCTGAATTATACAGTGTGTATTAAAACGAATAGATACACTTAAATAAAACAAGTGCCAAACCCCGCCCACTGTGGTAGGGATACGTCAAGTCAAAAATTTATGGATTTCAAGACCTAATAATCTCGATGAATTAAGGGTGCAAATCTTTAATACATTGGGAGATATTAGTCCTGAAATGCTGTTTAACGTGCGCAGGAATTTTTATGATAGGCTAGGATATTGTTTAACTGCTGCTGGTGGTCTATTTGAACATTTAATTTAGAAAAAAGTTATTTTCGTTATTTTAGAATTATTTTTGTTTGAGAATTTATAAGTTTTATTTTTATCGAATTCGTTTGTTTTGTTTTAAATCCATTAAATTCCAGTTAATGGCAAAAATGTATTTCTTAAAAACTATACACATTTCCCTACGACAGCGTCGGAGCTACTGAACAAACAGTAGATCAAACTGCATGCCCTTGTATCTGGCTGCATGCCGCGCTGTTGCCATATGCTATTATTGTTTCCTAAATTGTTTTTCTTGTTTTTTAATATTAAAAGTAAGAAAATTAACTAAATCAAATTATTTTTGACATATTATTAATTTTTTTGTTATTTTTAAAGTTTCAAACAAATAAAATTGAACTATTTATTAAATAATTATAATCGTTCTCTTCTGATTTAAAACAACCTGGCAACTGGTTCGTAATTACGAATGGCACGAATGGCACGCCCAATTAAAGTTTGTTTCTTTTTCTCTGATCAGAATATAATTTGTCATCCTTGTCTCCAGCCTTACTTACTTGATTCTATACAGTCTGTATACAGGCACGTATATACCACGTTGTGATTACGTTACTATAACATGGGGGTATAGTGGCCAAAACTTCAGCGAAACTTGACTACTATTTATTTTCTATCCTCGTCTATTTTCAGCAAATTATTTATCTTATTATCTTTGCTTTCCTTGACTGGAAATTAAAGTGACACTGAATACTGAAGACATAAAATTACCAGGAATTACATTTTACTGTCAAACCTGGGTGTCATAGCTTGAAATATAAGCACGGCCCGTTAAAATACGTATGTGGTAATGAAAAAGAATATAAAAATTTGTAAACTTATCGGATCTGAAAATTATTTATCCAGAGGTCTCAAATAATTTTTTTATGATTTCTTGTTACCTGAAACCAATAATTATATATTAACGTGTCAAATTTGGTGCGGTATTAACCAAAATTATTTATTTAAAACTACACATTTATTTTCCTACAATGGCGATTATTTGTAATGCAGCTTTAAAATGGTAATCTTATACGAAACGTGGAAATCACTTAAGCATGTAGCAAGAACGTGGCAATGACCACTGCAATTATATAATCAAGTTTTGCCACATTAAAGGTTTGGGAAAAGTTTCAAAAACGTTGCAAAAACTGTTATAGCCACTTTACTACTACTAATATTACACTTCCAAGTAATACTTAAGTGATGTGATTTGGTTGCCGTTACTATTCATAGTCCACTTTAAAGTTTAGACAACTTTAAGGTTTCAGATCCCAGACTAATACCCCAAAAAGTTATTAAATTATGAAGTATATTTTGCTGGTGCAAATCACATGATTACAACTTTGCTAATATATTATGAAGATATTTCAACTGTGCCTGGTAGATTTATTTACTTTTATTTTTAATTGCCACTCATTTGAAGTTGAGATATGTTTTTCGTCACTATAATGCTACTTGGGATAACTTATTAAGTTTAATATATCGTTGTATTCTTTGATTTTTTTTCTATCTAACTTTGTATAATTCCATTACGGCGGCCATAGGAAAAAAATTGATGGTGGTAACTTAATATCTAGAGGGCGAAAAAAATCGCAGTTTTAATAAATTAAAGCAATACCGCATTTTTAAATATAATAACTTAATTTTCATCGAAACATAGTTTTAAGAAATAAAAGTTAATTTAACATAATTATACAGGTTTTAGATATTTTTAGATTTTAGAATAATAATAATAATATTAATAAATTTGAAATGGACCAAACCAGAACAAAGGGCCTTAATTTTAAAATTCTTATATCTTAATTCTTATTTTTTCAATTTAATTTGTTAAAAAATAGTGCTATATATAAAAAATTTATCGATGAGAACTTTTTGACGACATTCTTTTACCGGGTCAAAAACCCATAGAATTCACATAAAATTTTAAACAATCCCAATTTTTAAAACTGGTATTGTATAAATAATTCATTTTTGAACACTAGAAAATTGTTTTTAATGAAATATAATATTTACTCTTGAACTACCTAATTTGTTTAATAATAATTTAAGAACTATTTTTATTATTTTGTAACATATTTTTTCTATTTGTGTACCATAATTATTATGTTATTATGGACAAGTGTGGCCAAGAAAAAGTTTTTAACAAGCCAATCAGAGCGCGCTTTTAACCCAAGCTAGATTTCCAAAATAGAAATAAAAAATCTTAGAATTTTTTAAAAATCCTCTAAAATACATTCTAAATTCACAAAATTATATATTATATATTAGTCATTTAAAAATGTACAAAACTAGATTTTTCCTATTCTAAATGCGCTAAACTAGTTTTGCTTATTTTGTATTTTTATCATTCGGGTAATAAAAATAACAGAAATAAGTGTTAAATAAAATACCGTCATATGTACATGCAAATTCAATTCACATACCTTAAAAATAAAAACAATAAATTGTGCAATGATTTGACCATGCGTTTAGAGAGTTCCATTGAACGTTTAAACAACTCTGTCCCAATTAAAAATAATTAATTTTTACTCTGATTTAAATATATGTCATCAGCTATTATAAGTTATAATTAATACAGGTATTAACGAAGGTTACGTGCATTATAAAACGCATATTCATTTTAAATCATGACAATAATAAAGGGTACTTTAATTTTAATATGTAAAGTAATAGTACCTAGAATGTTGTGGTAATTAATATTTAATTATGCTTTATTTCTATAAAATATACAGTTATTAAATGACAATTAACATAAATGATTTTAAAATAATATTAAAGTCCAAAAATCACAAAATAGGACTATAGGATTTTTTTTAATTTTAAAAGTAGGTAATTAAAAGAAAAAAACTGTTTGGTAATAACCTTATTGGAAAGTCCAATTGGATTTTCATCCTGGTCATAACAAACTAATTAAATAGGTTTAGTCCTTTTTTATATGTTTGTATAAATTAAAAGTCAATAGGCAAAGCCAATGTTTATCTAATGCAAATATACAAATAAATCAATGTAAAGAAATCATATTTGTTTACCTGAAGCCAGTCTACGATTCTCTTAGCGAACATAGGAGTGAATTTAGTAGTTTGAGATAAACTTAACCCGTCCATATCGAAAACTACGACGGCCCCGCAGACTTCTGTTTCCGGTTCCAACATGGCGGCCTCCACGAACAAAACACAGCCTTTAAAAACTTCATCCAAATGTAATTCACTCGTTTTCCATTTTTCTGAAATAAATAAATTAAATCGAGATTAATTTTTTGTTACTTTGAAGGTTTTTGTAAGTTATTGAAAAACCTGTTTTGTAGGTCAGGTTCGATTTTGTAGTATTATTGACATAAACTCAAGATCAGTATAACTTACTTCCCAATTCGATGACTAGAATTCGTCTTCCAAACTGGTCTCTGTTTGGTTGAACTGTCAAAACGTCTTGCTGGAAAACATTTTTTTCTTTGCTTGGTGTCAAACCATCAAACATATCTGCATGTTTAACTTTGAACTGGTAGTACCTTTTAATCTAAAACAAGACAATACGTTAACACAAAAATATCGATAAAAATGATCATCACATCAAAGGGATATCTTACCAGGTCTCTGGCACTTTCTGGATAAAACTTGGTAGGTCTCAAGAACCTGATGAGCCACAAATCGTTGTCCAAAGGCACATGAAGATCTTTTTCTTCTTTCAAGAGATCTCTTAAAGCTGGCACTGCGGTTTTGACTACGTCTGGAGTTTCGCGAAGTTCTTTTCTGGCGATTTCTTTTACTTTGTCTGATGGTTCGCTGAGTTCAAACTCCAAAGTGAAGTCTCCCAATTTTACAGTGGGAAGTTCATCCATGTCGGATAACATCGTGGCAGCGACTGAAAAAACAATAATAAATAAATATATATAAACATAACACTTAATATGATTTATTTATAAATTTTAATTCGGTTTTACCATTTGTAACAATAAATAAATAAATTTTTGTATTAACTGTTGTCCAAAAATATGTAGGAATATTTTCCAAAATTAAATTACATAATTAGATTTAAAGATTTGTGTAAAAAATAAGTTTATTTATATATTTATTTATTTAATAAAATGTAAATAATTTAAAACAATTTGACCATACACAGTGGGTTAAAAATTATTGGTAATTCCAGTACAAATTCCAGGAATTTATTTATTTATTTAATATAATGTAAATATTTAAATCAATTTAACAAATTGTTAATAATTATTGGTCTTTTATGTACAAATTCTAGGAATTAATACCACCGGAATTGTAATTTATTACTCATAAGTCCAGTACTTGGACTTGGATAAAAATATTGCAAGTGGTCAATTATAAGAGTATTTCTATATCAACAGTTTAATTTTTAGATCAACATTTAATGTATTTGTAAATCTTTTTTTTTATTTAAACCCAAAATTTATGGTAATAACCATTTAATACAAAAAACAAAAATTAAGTAGGTAAATCTTTGCTTTATAAATTACACAACAAACCTATATGGAATCACCCAGTAATTACAAGAAACTATATTCCACAAAAAAGTGAAATAAAAAGTACTTTATCTAAACCTATTTTGTTACGAAAATTAAGAAAAATGTATTAAAACAGTTTTCTAGAGAACAAATTACAACAAAAGTGAATTTCTCTGAGAATAAACTTTACAATAAATTAGAATTTAGGAGGAAATATTATGTCTTTGTTAATTTAATAATCATTGTTTTCACCTGTAGAATCAATGCAAGCAGCGATGAGGCTGGTTTTAAATTAAGTTATTTATTTTTTCTTGTTGAATTCTATCCCACCCCTTTACAAATACTTCTACAAATTGCTATGCGCTGTCGGGTTGTTTTAACGGGCTCTAATTCTTGTTTTAACCTTATCCCTTAAGTTCTTAATTGGACTAAGGTCCGGTGAACAAGAAAGCCACTCTAAAAAAGTCACACTTTCTATTTCTCAACAGCTTTTGACAACATTGCTTATCAGCAGTGGTGCATCCAGCATAAATTTTAAAAAATAGCACAACACAGTTAAGAGTTGGCCATTTAAATTGGTATTTGGAGCATTAAAACTGGACAATTTAAGATTAGAGAAATGTCTTATTTTGAATAAGTCCAGAATTGGCCTACGACCGGTGAATTCGTATTTTAAGAGGTCGTGGGAGACAAGCTAGACTCTGAGCTGGATGATCGATCCCTCAAGGCAAAGGAGGAATTGCAATGTTTTGGGGAGCCTTTATTATTGGTGAAAACATTCCTTTGAATCCCATTAGACAATCCCTAAGAGGTCCAAGGTATGTGGATATAGTTGTACAACCTACAAGGCTGAAAAGGTACTTTCAAAAGTCATTTATACAGGATAATGCTTCATTTACCAGCAGAAGTGACAAAAATTGTTTTGGAATGGAAGGTGTGACTGTTTTTGAATGGCCTTCTTGTTCACAATATCTTAATCGAATTGAGAACTTCTAAAATAAGGATTATAGCTCGTCAAAATAGCCCTGGCAATGTAGAGAAACTAATAAAAGCAGTTTTAGAGGGGTAAGGAAATGTTTCCCAAGAAGAAAATCATAATAGAAAGCATGCCTCGTCGACTTAATGCTTGCATTGATGCTAAAGCTGGAAATACTGATTATTTAATTAACAAACACCTTATATTTCTTCTTAAATTCCAATTTTCTGTAAAGTTGATGCTCAGAAAAATTCACATTTTTTTATATTTGTTCAATATAAAATTTGTTTTAATATTTTTTTATTATTTTTGTAATAAAACTGGTTAGGATAAGGTGGTTTTTATTTTTAATTAATTTTGTATGTAAAATACCATTGGGTATTTTAATCTATAATAAAACCAAAAATCGTTAACTTCGTTATTTATGGAAAGTAAAAGTCGTAGAAAAAAACAAAAGATGGTGGTGGTAACTCCAAATCTGGAATTCAAAAAAATTACAAAATGTAGATGTTTACAATGTAAACTTTACATGTAATCACAGACTGTGCATTTAATAGAATTGTAATTGCGCAACTTTTTTCTATAAATTAAAATTCAACCGACCATGCAGCTCTTCAAATAACTCTATAATAAAGAATACTTAAAATTATTTAATAAATGGTAATGGTACAAAACGAAATAAAGTAAAAGTAAGTAAATTTTCACGTTCAAGATCAAGACATGGTCATTTTTATATGCTCTCTTGGACACGCATTCAATAAAAATAATATATTATGGTAATCACATGTAAAATGTTTATTGGTTTTATATTTAAATGCATTTGTGTAATAATTATTTTTATATGGGTTTAACATAATAATAAATTTAATGACATCTTTGATGCAGTGATTAATATACTTCCTTGAAAAAGAATTACCTTGAATATAATTAATCTGCACTTGGTAACAATTTTAAAAAATATTTACCGATCGATTAAAAATGTACAGTTAAATATTAGTATTTTTCAAGAAAAATTAATAACTTTTAAAATTCGTTCTCAAGGAAACTTGCAAATATTATTTTCAAGATATACCGGGTGTTACTCAAGTATGTACAATAAATTTTACAGACGATTCTTTAGGTGATTTTAAGACAAAACGTTCAAATAAACATGGTTCCGCAAATGCAACATTTTCAAGATACGGGGTTTTAAACTTTGATAAATCTTAACAAATATTTTGTAAAGCAACTAAAATTCCAACTTTTTTTCGCATTTGCTTAGTTTTCGACAAAAAATAAAGATATTTACGAAAAACCAAATAAAAAAAGTTTAACACCCTGTATCTTAAAAACGAAGCATTTTCATTTTTATAATATGTTCAATGAAACTTTTTGTCTTAAAATCACTGTGTTAAATTCATTGTACATACTCAAATTACACCCTGTATATATATATAAATAATGATCGAATAGTAATTACTTATAACATTAATTGTTCTTGAAGTTTACAATTAAAAAAAAAATTTAAACCAACATATCCGCAATACTTAAATGCAAAAAGATAAGAATATTATCGTTTGGTTGAATGACCATTAACATAAAAACTTTTAGCCATCAAATAATTTTTAATTTACAAACATTTTTTAAAATTTTTTATGGTAAGCAAAAAACATTTTACATTTTTACGCACCATATATATATATATATATATATATATATATCTAGAATAATAAATAGGTATAAGAACCAAAGCAATATTTTTTAAAAATTAAAATTTGAGGTAAAATATTTCATTTATTAAAACATGTATTAAAATTAAGTAAGGTTTTTGTATAAGTAAATTTGTCACAACCCAAATTAATAATTAATAGTTAAATTTTTAATTTAGTTTTTAATTTTAAAAACTTTCCTGCAATAATTTAAATAAATTAACCTTAGGAATTATAATTGTGATTAAAAAATTAATATATTTTTTATTTTATTAACCTGGGCAACTAGTTAAACAGCATTTTATTAAAGTTGAACAAATATTTAAAAACCTAAGTTTTTTTTAAATATATTGTGAATAGTTTCATATTAATTATTACATAAATTTAACACTTTTTATCTGTACAAAAAATTCGGTTTTAAGTGGGTAATAAAACATTTTATTTATTCAAGATTATTATTAAATAAGTAGGACCATAAATTTGAAATGGAAATATACACGAGTACCCAATATTAAATAATAGGTTTTTTTAACTTGAATCATAATCTCAATCAACTTTTACTATCAACATTAACGTCAATCATTACTATTTTTTAAATTTGTTAATTTAAAATTAAAAAACTAAGTCAAATTGGTTTCGCAAAATGGGTTTAATTTTGTAGGAAATTTTATTTATAAAAAACTGTTTACAAAAAAAGTTTTCTACAAAAGTGAGATTTTTTTCAAAATGGCGACCTTTTGATGTGAATTTGACGAATCTAAAAAACATAGAACTTTATACTTAGCTAACAAATGTATATAATATAAAGCTAATCTCAATAAACATTTTGAAAAAGGTTTTCTATTTTTTTTTGTAAACCTAGCCATTCAAAAATGTCTTAGCCCAAAATTTAAACCAAAAGTTTTGAAAAAAATATTTTTTTATAAATTTTATAACTCGCATAATAGTACATTCTTTGTTGATCAACATAAAAGATTTCTTTAGTTTTTTCGCAACAAAAGTTACTGATATATCAGTATACAACCTTTTTTTACCCCAAAAAGTATTAATTTTACTACAACAATTTACTACAGAATTTTTAAAATAATTTTATCTAAACTGCGCACCAGTCAATGTGTCGCGACCAAAAATTTCGTCCTTTTTCAAAACGACATAACTTTTTTGTTTCTTAAACGATTTTATTTTGGTTTGTGATGTCTGCTAGCCCCATTCTCTGGCAATTCATGCTATAGATATGAAGCTCACGGTTTTTCACGTAAATTTACTACAGGGTGATATGTAAAACAGTGAAAAATTTCAATAACTTCATCCAAGCTCCGTTTGTAAAATAAATATTTTTTTTTCGTTTTTACTTTGAAATAATGAAGTATTATGTCTTACCTTGAAACGTTCTTCAAATTTTTCGAATTGGAATATTAGCAACAAAAATATGATTTTTTTTTCAATGGAGTACATTTGATGCTTTTTTGTAGGCAATACACTCAGCCTTTTTAAAAACAAAAAGATAAGATGGTGAAAGATTGTTCCTTGAATAATTCTGAACAAGCGACAAGCAACAAACTTCCATTAATTTCAGAGGAACCTAAGCAAAGACCACTTTTTCAAAATGACATTTTGGAGAAAATTTGCGAAAACTAAACCTGAACCGATATTTACGTTCGTGACATGTTTGCTTTATAATTTTGACCTCCTGATGTGATTCAGTTGTCAAATTTAAGTTTTAGAT